ATCTGCCATAGTGTAAAACTATTACATTTTATTAAGACAAAAAACTCACAATGATCCCAGCTTACATTGAATAGTGCTATTCTTTGCACTGGTTATATCGCATGTCATTAAATTAATAATCCATTATTGACATTCCATCAACTTCATAGAGCAATTCTTCACACAAACAAAACTAGTTACTGCTGTATGTTAATCCCTGGGTGTACTGCAGCTTCATTTCTGGGTGTACTCTGCGTGATGACATCACTTCCAGTTGTGCCCCGACGCGTTTTGTCACTCTGATGTTATCAACAGGCGCCTGTTCTTGTTCTTGAGCTTAGCTTCATATGGAAAATATGGAGTAATTTTTTTTTCACTTGCTACAACAAACTGATTAACAGAGAGGTCACAGGAAGGTAAATATAAGCTGTTCCTGGGACCAGAACTTAAGTGAATCTGCCTTACTCTGCATGTGTTTTTGTTAAAATGACTCAAGGTATATGGACCACCAGTTTAATACAAGCAATTCTATTCAGTTGTTCCCTCTCTAAGCCCACAACAACTGTGCGCCTGATTTTGAGCATGACAGGGAGAGTCCATTGCCCAGACCACAGTGCAGAGGCTTCGGTCCACCCCTAAAAAGCCTACTAAGTACTGTATAGGTGCACTGGATGCTAACTATCAGACTTATTTAAACTAATTGGATGGTGTGCTTTTAGCCCAGTTGCAACATTTCTGGTTATTGCTAGCAGTTAAATGATAGACTGTTGTAGTGCTCACCCCTGAAGGGGCTGTTGGCAGCAGACAGGTTCTCTCTAAGTAGCACAAAGGCCACCAGTCACCCAAGTACACTAACAATCACAGCTTAGTCCAGGGGTGCCTTTTTAGGATTTACTGATCAAGAGGTTTTAACAAGAGAGAGGTTTAGGATCAAGGGATGCTCCAAGATGGTCAGCAGTACAGCAGAATAACTAGTTTATCTCTAGGCTCTCAGTATCAGCTTCTCTGGAGGTAGATAGGGATGTAAGTATATCTAAGGCCCCAAAGCTATAGACCATAGGGCAAATGTTACTAACCAGTTCTCTTCCACATGCACGCAACTGTCAGTCCCCAGTAAAATCCTTACTCACATTGTCCTAGGAGTTGTCTGTCACACAGTCTCCTCAGGCAGATCATCAATGTGGAGTTGACAAAGTCCTCCTCCAGAACTGGACTCTGAATTGGTGTCCTTCAGCATGTTTTCCCTTTTTAGCTGCCCCCCTTGGCCCCTTAGTACAGCAAATTCTGAGAAGAAAATGGTAGTTTCTTGTCTTAGTAATCCTTCTACAAGGTGCAGCAGCCCCCAGGAGTACTAGAGCCCTCCCAGATGAGGAAAGAAAAATTTTCCAAGGGATCCTGTCCATTTATCACTTCCCCAACCACCTTCTGGATGCTCCATTGCAGGGGTTGGCCAGAGCATGATAAATTGTCAGCTGATCTTCCACGTTCAGGGAGAAGCAATCAAACTGTCACCCTGGAAGTCCTGAGCAAACCAAGCAATCAGCAACTGCTTCACTCCCTCCAGTGGAGTCAAAAACTAAATTTTTCTAACAGCCCAACTGGAAACAACCACTCCAAGCATTATATTTATTGCCTGGAGTTGTCCTTTAAGCTTCCAGTTCTTGTCACAAAATAATTTTGTAATACTACAGTATGTGTGGTGAATTTTGAAGCTTGCACCCAGTCTGTTGCTGCATTCATCTTCCTTGCTCTGCAGTACTGTGAATTTCTATGTCCCGCAGCCAAGTCGTTGTTGGTGCATATGTCATATTGCTGACTAATTCAAGAACACTTGAGTCATCCAGGCACAAGCTGCAGGCTCAGAAGCTGGCTGAATGTAGGAAAAAAAAAAAAGACAGCTATTAAAGCAGTGCAATCTCTTGTCTTTTGCTTCCACCCCACCTTCCCCACAGCAAATTAATATTTGAACCATGCCACATTTTTCATTATGCTTATGCACTTAAAACCATTTATTTTCCAGCAGGAGAAAAGGGCCTTAGAATGAAAACTGGACCTCTTCACATTTGAGCTATTGGTTTATCTGAAGTCAATCCCAACCATTTCTAATATCGACAGTAAACATCTTGCTCATTATTTTACTATTAATAGGAAAATTCCTTCAGGAAACTTAGATTACTTTTCATTTGTACTTTAAAGAACTCCAAGTAGCACTCTTGTGGTGCATATAGTTAGAAGTTGAATTTGTAGCTGGTGAAGAGGGTATATACAACCAAAGAATATAGGTTAAAAATGTATTTGCAGTGCTGCAACTGTCTGCAGTGATGAGCAAGTAGGATTAAGTGTGATGATGAGTATTTTCTAAATCAACCAGGGGTGGACTGACCATTTGGAAACTCGGGCACTGCCTGAGGGCCCAGGGTCAGTAGGGGGCCCAATGAGATGCCCCTGGTACCTTTTTTGATAGGCGTTTTTGAGTTTGGGCAAGGACACAGGGGCCCCATGATCCCCTATTGCCCGGGGGCCCCATGAGTTGTCAGTCCGCCCCTGAAATCAATTTTGTTGCTCAAATAAAGCTAAAGGGAACCCTGCAGAGACAGCACAGAATACTTTTCTTCCCTGCTGTCTATTCCATTGATCACTGCTGTAGTGAGGATGTTAGAATGCTGAAGAATCTGACACTTCCAGGAGTGCTGGATTCAAGATCTCCCTGCTGCATTCAGTGGTTCGATCCCCTGGCCTCTACTGTATGTCTCTGGGGCGATAGAGGTGTAGAGCTACTCCCGTAGGAGCAGCAGAAATACTGTCCAGGTCTTCCCCAAAAGCTTTGCTCTGCCGCCAGGCATATAGGCTCATTCACATGTTTCTTCAATGACAAGTCTAGGGGTGTGGTTTTTCTTGTTTTTATTTTTAGAGAACTTAGATAGGGATGAGGGAATTAGGTGGGATACTCCAAAAACATGAACTATGTACAACCTGAGGACTTAAGTATTCTTCAGGATAAGCTATAACAGTGATGGCAAAACTTTTAGAGACCGAGTGCCCAAACTGCAACCCAAAACCCACTTATTTATCACAAAGTGCCAACACTGAATTTAAACCTGAATACTGAGATTTTAGTTTAGAAAAAAAACCTCATACATTAACATATTTTGTCTTATAAGAAAAACACAATAACAGAGCTTTCAATGATACAAACAGCTTTTTAACAGTTCCACTGACCACCAGCACAAAGGGGGGCAATGTTACTACCATCACAGACTGACCACCAGCACAAGGTGACAGTTCCACTGACCACTAGCACAGAGTGGCAATATTCCCCTGACAACCAGCACAAAAGGCAAATTTTCCACTGACCACCAGCTTTTGGCCTGCTCTGAAAAAGGCATCTGAGTGCATTTCCTACCTTGTGAGGGCTTCTGCTAAAATTACAGCCAGTCCAAGTAAATATATATATAATTTCCTTGGCAGCACCCTGACCGGCCATGCGAAAACTCGGACAAGTCATGGCTAATGAGTTGCTGCTCGTGACGTCATCGCCTGGCGCGACTACTCCTTACCAAGCATGCAAATTGGCCCCTATCTGCACCACTATCCGTTGCTTGGCTGCTGGAGTGATGCTGGGGCGACTTGGCTAGCATGCCGACAGAGCAAGCTCTGCGTGTCCACTGCGGCACGTGTGCCATAGGTTCGCCAACACTGAGCTATAACAAAGTCTGTGCTTGCAACAAACAATGGACTTCAGCTTTAAGGCAGCTTGTAGTAGTAGCACTGGTTTACTTGAGAATCTCTTTCTTAGAGCCACAAGTCCCTTTTTAGGAATGCCAGACGGAGTCTCCTTTAGCTAGAACTGCAGCTGACTCCCTAGCACCAAAGGGATTTTAGCAGCACAAAGTCTTTAAGATCCTTTCAGAAGTTTCTATACTCACAAGGCACATGGTCAGATGGTTGCCTTCCTCCATTATACCAGACAAGATCTTCAGCAGCCCCTCAGTCATCTCTAGCAGAACCTGGGTCTCAGCATTCAGGCCCTCAGGTAACCCACCTTAGGCCTATGACAGCAGGTGCTGCAGCATTGCTTGGGAGGGCAGCATGCCCCCTCTAGGACTTAACCAATCCTATACAGGAAAAGACCCAGAACTCAGTGTGCTGATTGAATATATACAGTTACCCAGCATGCCATCAGAGCCTGCCTCTCTGGGATAGGACAGAGCAGCATCAATATTCATGCTGCCTCTGCATAGCTCCACACCTATCATCCAGAAGCTTCTCAAGCTCTCTGGATGCAGAGGGAGCTATCAGGCCGGCAGCAACTGAACTCACTGAGCAGACCTAACGAGCAGAACACAGGAGCACTGATTGCAGTGTGCAAGTTAAGCTTTTACCTAACAACAATTACAACCACACTGACTATAGTGTGATAACTAAATTTACCTATCAAAACACATATTAAATCTTATATATCTAAACCCATCACCTGTCTAGGAGGGTGCTATATCGGGATTGGTGGGAGGAACCACTGAACACATTGGGGGCAGGAGATCCAACACTTCAGAAGTATTGGATTTTTCAGGATTTTCAGCAGGGTGGGTTCTCCTCAGTATTGCAGAGATAAGTGGAGTTGACAAAAGGAGAGTTGAATAAAAAATGTATGGTATTGCATGAGAAAGAAAGAAAAAATTATTAATTTTACTTTTGTGTTCAGAACTGTCATGTCTTCTGTTCACATCTAACCGTGAAGATACATCTGTATGTTGATGGATCTCCTCCTGAGATTGAAGACCTGGGGCTGGTGTCTGGTACTTTATTTTGGGGAGCCTGTGATTGGAATCTATGGTTAGGAGCTGCCTTGCTCTGTAGATTGGAAGCTTGTTTTCTGTGTGGCAGATATGTGTTAAAACAATCACCAGTAAAGCTCACTTGCAGAGTATACTGTATGTGAGTGCAACTCTGAACTTTTAAAGGGGCCACACGTCCATTCTTCTTAAAGTAATATACATCATACATAATAAGACCACAGGAAGGAACATCACCAGAGATAGTATCGGAACAGAATTTGGAGTGATCCCCAGAAGAGAAGGTGCGGTTGACCTATACACAGGGGTGGACTGACAACTCATGGGGCTCTGGGCAATAGGGGATCATGGGGTCCCTGTGTCCTTGCCCAAACTCAAAAAAGCCTATGAAAAAGGTACCAGGGGCATCTCATGGGTCCCCCTACTGACCCCGGGCCCTCGGGCAGTGCCCGAGTTTTCAAATGGTCAGTCCACCCCTGCCTACACTGGTCCAAAGCTGGAGGCAAGCACATAGGCACAGAGGTGGTGGGAGTCACTATACCGTGGATTGATATATGGAATATTGAAGAAATAAGTAGCACACATGGCGGAAAATGCAAAATATAGGAAAAAATTCTTTACTTGTATATTCACTGAATATTGTCTTTGGCACAGCATAGATATACTATATATTTTTAGGATGTATATCTTTTTATTTAGTAATTTCTCTGGGAACACTTTTTTATGTTTGCAGCCTTCTGTTGGTAGTCATTTATTATGTATTTATTTATTATTTTTTAATAATTTTATTTATTTACATACTTTTTTGGGGATTTGGAGCACTTGTGGGACTTAATTAATTTGTTGTTACACATAATATAAAAAGAAGTGTGGGATTATTATAACACATTCATTATATGGCATTGTATGGTTTTATTTTAGTAAAAGAGTCCCTTTTATTAATGGTGAGTCATAGATAGAATCAATGATTCACTCTAAAAAAAACAGTGAATAATTAAAGCTGAAGCTTAATCCGCTTATATTTTGCCTTTCCTGGTTACTCCACCCCCATCAACATGCTAATTAAATTTTTAAATTAAACCTTTCCAATTTCATTACATTTATGTAGCGCTCAGCCCCTAAAGGGCCTGCTGATTTGGTTTGAAGGTTCTTTCCCCAATAAGTGCACTAGCAGCCAGGCACATAGTCTCAGTCACTCTTTGATTTACTGAAAATTTAAACTTGGATGGGTGCAGGGTAACTACAGCGTACTCCAACAAGGCAAAGTAATAACTTGTGGACACCTGTCTCCTTCTCAAAGATTCCTAGCACAGTCCCTTGCAACAGCAAATAATGGACTGAGCTACACGGGGATGCCATAGGAAATGTTCACTTTTAAGCACAGGTTGGATGCCACCTTCTAATATCTGCCAGAAATATCTTCTGTCACCTTTTCAGACCAGACCAGATCCCCAAAAAAGAAATCCCTCAATCAGCTCCAACAGAGTTCAGTAGAATAGGATCCCCAGCTTACACAGCTGGGACCTTAATGAGCAAATGAAGATCCTTTAAGCTGGAATCTACTCCTTGTTGACAAGAACCCCTCTGCTCCAGGCAACAAACTATTTATGCTCCCTCCCAGCCACATACTGGGCACCTCCGCCAGGGATTTACATAAATATTCATACTATAGATTTGACTCTCCCAACCCAGTACCTTCCAGAAGCAATCTGGAAGCAGGTGGAAGCAATCAAACCAACAGCCTCTGAAACACGAAGCAGACCAAAATAATCATAGCAGATCCACTGATCACAGCAGAGCCAAATAACTAAATTTACCTAACCTAGCACCTATGTAAGAGGGTGCCACATTTATTTTAGACACTGTGATGTCATTGTTGGGTCTCTGTGATTCTCTATGCAATGCAGGCAGATCATGGTTGAGAAGGGGCAGCATGGTGCTGTGCTGTTTTTATTTTTTTAGGAAGCTCTTTACAGCAGCTGAACTCATTACTCTTCTCAAGAGCCCCCAGCCATGATGTAAGCAATAGACTGACCCTTGGGAGGAGTTATCAAATTTCAAAATGATGGGTAGATGTCAATCTTGAGAAATAGGTGTTCTTAGGCAGGATTCATTTGTATGCAGAGTGCCATACATATAACCCACATGTGATGCTGAGCCTCCATCATTGAAAGAATGGAAACCCAATTAATGAAAGCAATGAGCCAGGGACAGTAAGGCTAGGGAGAAAAAAAATCTAGATGATCCTGGATGTCAGCCAATGTGCAGTGAAAACAAAGCAAGCAATTTCAGTAAAGAAGAGGAGCCTGAACTAGTGTCAGCAAATGTGGAGCTGGCAATATTATACACCAAAAGTTACACAGTCCTGTATTTCTCATTCAAAAAAGAGAATGTGACTGAATCAGATGGACAATGGGCAAATGCAGACAATGAATGTGCTACATGGATGCCACAAATGAAATTACTGATGAATCAATCACTAACCTATTTCTAAAAGTCAAACATACATGTAACATTATCCTATTTTCATTGTGCAAATCTAATTGCCTATCTGTGAAAGGGGCTTACTTCTCGCACTGTCTATGCCTTGAACACCCAGAACTCCTTTTCATCATAATGTAGCAGGATGTGTCTGAAACAGAAAAAAAGCTAAAACCAAGCTCCCATGAAGCCCCTGAAGATTTCATTGTTCAGAATAACCAAGTGGAGGGGTTGGCACAAACACAAAATATGTGGGACAACCAGATCCTGTAGACAGATGCTCCTTCGTTGCAAATAAATTAGGTAAAAGTTTTCATTGGTTATATTTCGTCAACTTTCTATCTCACTCGGACTTCATTTTCAGTGGCAAAACATTGTAAAGGTCAATGGACAACTGTGCTATGTACACTAGGTAGATGAATGAAAAAATGGACAGGTGGACCTTATGTATCATGTCACGTCAATGTAGCATTAGTCCTAACCTGAACATTTCAAATTGATTGGTAACTGCAGGGAAATAACTTTTGATCTTTTTGAAGAGCTTGCCAGCACAAGGCCTATTGTGTTACCATATCCTAGAAGGGTGGTGTGGTATCTCAACTCTACCAAGCCTTAAGGTGTCCATATTCAAGTCATGCCACCAATCTAGCTTTGCTTGAAACAACCAGGCCAGGTCTTATACTGGTCCAAATCAAGTAATTTAATTCTTTAAAAACCCTGGTATTACACAAGGAATTATCAATATCGGAAATGTTCTGTGCTGCTAGAAGTCAATCACAGCCTTTTCTTTAGAAAAAAAGGGTATTCTGTTCATGGCTTAATTAAGAAGTGCTCATTCCAGTTCTGAGGGTATGAAAAAGAATGAATGGATTTGGGAAAGAAATTTGGAAGAATAACCCTGGAACCAGGGGCTGACTGACCATTTTGGAACGCGGGCACTGCCCGAGGGCCCAGGGTCAGTAGGGGGCCCCATGAGATGCCTCTGGTACCTTTTTTTCATAGGCTTTTTTGGGTGTGATTTGAGTGTGGGAGAGGACACAGAGGCCCCATGATCCCCTATTGCCCGGGGGCCCCATGAGTTGTCAGTCCGACCCTGCCAGGAACCTTATTATTATACTACTGTTATGGAGGGTATGGAGATATTTGAATACAAAGTTTGGATTCCTAGAGCTGTCAGCTTTTCCATGCCAAAGAACTTCCAACTGTCTGATTGGTTTGTAACTAAAGGAATTAGAGATTGAAGTGCCACACCCAGGGGCGGACTGACCATTTGGAAACTCGGGCACTGCCCGAGGGCCCGGGGTCAGTAGGGGGCCCCATGAGATGCCCCTGGTACCTTTTTCATAGGCTTTTTTGAGTTTGGGCAAGGACACAGGGGCCTCGTGATCCCCTATTGCCCGGGGGCCCCGGTATCAGTCCGCCCCTGGCCACACCAAAATGTAATCGTCCAGACACAGACACATTCCAAGGTATGACAGACTCCAGACACCCCAACTGGGTATCTCTGCCAAGAAACTGCTTCTCAAGCTCTGGAACATGAGGCAAGTGACTATAGCTGTAGTTACCCCAAATAATTAGACAACACCAGTTTTGGAGTAAACAAGAAGAACTGCTTTATTAGAGAATTACATTGAATTTATACAGAAAACCATCAGATAAAAGTTATTCACATTATCACAGACAATGCCCACTTTGGACAGTCCCACACCATCATAGGAATACATTATACATAAGAAGCCATATGTTACAATGATAGTTATTTTGGGGTGATCCTGAGGGAGTGGCGGCAATCCCGGGATACCAGTTGATAGCCCCACACCCCCAGATGGTATGATCTAAAAAGCTACATATTTTGTGAACAGGGTTGGAGTGACAGCTGGTTAAAGGTATCCGGGTGCCGTTCATAGATTATTCAGGCAACAGTTCCTTAGCCGTGGTTACCAAACCCCAGAGAGATGTAACACTGAAATGCCAAGGTTCGCAAGCAAGCTCTCTCTCAGCAACCACCCTGGCCCATGTCTAACCAAAAGAAGAACATAGTCCCAATAGAGCAACGTGGCAGGACAATGGGCCTTCGAAGCTACTCCTAGTAAAGTTAGCGGGTATTTCTCCTGGCCCTAGCTGCTATATAGTTCCATGAAAATGTGGCTATGATCCGGTGAACCATTGACGGAATGCCCAGGCTAGAGGGAAGTCCGGATGGGAATAAAAGTATACTAGTTACCAGCTCCTTCTGGATAACTTTAAAACACAATAAAACACAGAGTTCTCCGGGCAATGGTTCTCCTGCAGCAGGGGCAGACTGACCATTTGGAAACTCAGGCACTGCCCGAGGGCCAGGGGTCAGTAGGGGGCCCCATGAGATGCCCCTGGTACCTTTTTCATAGGCTTTTTTGAGTTTGGGCAAGGACACAGAGGCCCCATGATCCCCTATTGCCCAGGGGCCCCATGAGTTGGCAGTCCGCCCCTGTCCTGTGTCCTGCAGCCCCAAGTCCGTGAAACAAAGTAAGTTACAAAAAACTTTATCACAAAACCAGAATGTTTTGGGGGTCAGACAACACCCCTTCATCAGGGCCTGAAATAAAAGGTAATATTTTTTTGATCAAGGTATTCCATCAGCAGCTGGATGATTACATTTTGGTGTGGCACTTCAATCTCAGATTCTCTCAGGGAATGAATGGGTGTCACAGTGAATATAGGTTTGGAGACTCTGTTGGAACAGGTGCCACTGCCATGAGGACAGGAAAACCCAAACTTCTTAGTAGAATCATAAATGAAGAGCCCACCATAAAAAAAAAAAAAAAAAAAAACTGTACAAGCTGCTGTAAAAATAGATCACACCCAATACTAAACTCCATGGTGGTTATAAAAACTACTTGAGAATAAAACTTTGCACAGCGATCCCTGGCAATACTCAAACCTTTGACATCTCTAGCGTGTAAAGCTGAACTCAAGGCAATTATAAAATACACATATAATAGCTCTATGTTCATTAAT